GACCCGACTTTTGTATTTCGGTTCGGGTACGGGTCCAATTAAAATCCGCCCGGATCTGGACTTTGCGGAACACTAGTACCAGCTTTATAGCATTATTGCGTCATTTGATTTGCATATCTACCGTTATAATAAATATATAATATTTTTAATTATTTTTATAATAATAACTTTTGATATATTGATCTATTTTGAATAATAGTATTACCAAAACGTTCTTCATAATGAGAAGATTCTAACGAGCCCAAATCCAATCATAAAATCTTGAGATATTCACAGTTATACTGCGACGCATATGTGCATACTGTATATGATATACAAAAAACGTGAACACATATGCACATATATGTACGTGCGTACTTATTTCAGCTGTCCACTCTAATCGTGTTACTAAAACAACTGTCCTACAGTCCGTGCTCACAAGTTTGAGGGTCCGTTAAAGCCAGGTTCGTTTACATAAAATTGCGTAAATTACATTCTTGATATTTTTATAATTAACAATCATAACTGCATCAAAAAAGCATCAAAAATCTAACCCTAACCGAACCTGTTGGAAAGTTTGCTGTAAGTCACGTGTAGATATTGTCTCGATTCATAGTTACCGATTATAGTATGGGTATCGTTCCTGATCACTAACGCATTTTTTACCCTAAACGAAAGTTTACACATCCTATATCATCCTATCTATATATCTATATAATTGCCTCTAATTAATGATTGTCAAATTGCAGTAGAATTTACTCTTCCTAACCTACACATAACTCCATGTTTTTACAATAGGATACTATATCTCCAATGGAATGTAACATTGGTCCAATTTTATGAATGATTGGGTATTCTTTGATAGGTCAAAAGCGTGTGCATTCTTATTTCAGATCCCCTTAAAACAAAGGAATAACCCTTTTATGTTAAATTTAATTTACAAAATTGTTACACGATTAAATTTCTCTGATGTAAATCGTGCAACATTAGGAAATTTATAAACCACTTATTTGTTAGATCGTTCAATGCAAAATTTCGAGTTTTTTTTTAACAGATATATTTTGAATAAAATTGTAAAGAATAAATAAAATGCAGCAAGATGGGAAATTAAATTCAGAATCGGCGTTAAAACTTAATTCAAATTTAGATTTCAAAGTTTGTTCATGTGCGCAGAAAGTTTTGAAAGACGATTGGGAGGTGTGTTATTCTTTTTGCATTCATTAATAAAACAAATCGAATAATGGAGTTATTTCATCCAGATAAAATTTTTTTAAATTGATTTATGTATGTTCATAGGATCACCAAATAGTATGTCCAAGAAGACGGTTGACATGTCCAGCTTTTGTATCTTTTTTAAGTGGCATTTCGAAATTTGAACAACCATACTGGAAAATATATGGAGAACGATACGCAGAATTTTCATTATCATCTGTTGAATCTAATTGTCCACCAACATTAAAGGAATTAACGAAATTGCAAATTTTGCAGAGGTACGAATATAACATTTTACACAATTTGCATTGCGGCGAATTCATGAAATACCCCAAATCCGAAAAATTTGACTAATAATAAAATAATCCTGATTTTTGACTAAATAATTAATATCCCCAAGTTAGGGTGCGTTATTATAGAATTTTCTACGTCTAATATGATGGGAAAGATGAGTTAGTCTGTGGTTAGACGCGTTATCAATCTAGATCATAGGTCCAAAAAAGTTTTTCGGGTTTAGCATTGATTTATCTATATGTAATTTGGTAACTAAAATTTAAATTTGGTGACAAAATACTTGGATTTGGTGACCGAATTATTTCATAAATTCGCCGTGATGGAAATATTTATGCAATTAATAATTTTATAAAACAATCGCACATATTTAGCATAGGTAATTTAGATGAGCTTAAAACAAACAAGATTCCATCTGCTATAATTCATACACTCCGCTGGGAATGTCCTACATTTTCGACGAAAGCAGAGTTGAACAAACATTTGGTTGGTGCATGTTTCTACTATAAGGTTCAGTGTTTGTTTTCGCCAATCATGAGACCAGGTCTTTATAATGTGCATGCAACCAACTGTCATAATAATAATATGTGCCTAAAACTCGAGCTTTCCAGACAGGAATTTCATGCACATTCAAGTCAAGCGGTAAGATATATAAAAACATAAATTTAAACATAATACAATATCAATTAAATTTCTAAAACTTTTTATGTAAATTGATTAGGCATTAGATCCTATTTCACAACGATTACCTTCGACACCACATATTTTTCCATATCATTGTTCATTATGCGATCATTGCTTTCTAAATTCAGATACTCACATATGTATGCCATCTCCACCAATTCCAGAATATGATATAATATGTCATTGTTGTAAATCAAAACTAGTTCAACCGAAAAAAACACATCACGAGATAGAAAACGCATGTCAGGTTTGTTGTAATCAAGATAATAATAATCCAACAGTGATCGGTATGGTTGGAATGGTTTCATTTCATAACCAAAAGAATTATGGAATAGAAAATCAAAAAATGCAATGGAAGAATGTTAAACGGAATATTATTAAATCTAATGTTAAAACACACGAAACCGAGGCAAGTATTAATGGTAATTTATTATGGTGTTTATTCGAAAAATACAGACATTAGTTTTTTGTATAATTTGTATAAGTAATATGCAGTATTAAGATAGTTAAGAAAAATAAATATACTGTAATATCGATTAAAATTAAATTATAAAGATTAAAAAAAATAATATATATATATATATATATAAGATAAATGATTTATAGACAGACTTTTGTGTGATTGGCTAATACAATCAATTGTTCAACTACTTTGTTTATATAGTTTAAAGTATTTTTAAGAATATAATATTTGCTAACAAGCAATAATCATAAAAGCTATTTTTATTTTAAAAATATATTCATATTTACTATACAAGAAAAGATTAATAAACTTGGAGCTTTATTTAAAACAAATATTTATTAATTATTGCTACTATATATAAGTATTGAATATATAAAATATATAGCTAGTACTAAATCTGACTATTATTGTTATAACTTTTAATAAAGGTTAGTTAAAACCAAATATATTTTGTAAAAACTTGAAAATAATTTATATGCTATATAAATTATATTTTTGATATAGTGTTTCGATCCGAAATCCGACTGTACTGTCTGAATTGATCCTTAAATCTAGATAAATTCAGATATTCAGATTAGAGATTTTTATTCGGATTGGTCAAGAAACTTAAATAACGAACCTAAGAGTGCACACAAAAGCTGGCTTTATATATAATTTAATGCGGATTCAATCCGGATTTAATAGAATCCGGATGGCCTGTCAAAAATAGAATCGAAACACTATTTTGATATTTATATAAATAACTATATCAAAAAAGTAACTCTAACTGCATCAAAAAAAACAACTTTAATAAATCTAGCTTTAGCCATTTCTCTTTAATATTAATATTCTAATCCTAAACTTCTATCTTTATATACTTAATTTATTTACAAATTTTGATTTTCTTTTTTAGTTTGTATTACTTATACAAATAAGTAAACTGCTTATGCTAATAGTATATTTACTAATTTTACTTCAGATTTTCTGATTCTGGCCAATCAGAAAGCAGATTAAATATAATATGAAAATTAAAAAAACAATTATTTGTTTTTCTAAAAAATTATATTAATCTCAAAATTTTGTTTAAGAAATTTCTTTTAATATACTAACAAAAAAAAATTCTTTGTATATTTTAAAAATAGTAATATATAAACAATTCTAGCTAATCAAAAATTTGAAAAAATTAATAAAAATACAAATAGTATAACAGGCTTTAAATTTAATTAATCAATTATTTTTTTTTACATCTTAAAGGTGAGGCCATGCTTCTAACTTTATTTACATTTAATTGAGTTTCTTTACAGAATACAAAGAAATTATATTTGAATCTCATATTCAGAAAATACTAAGACTAGAGACTCAAATACAATGTTATAATAATATAATTATCTGTGATCTAAACCTAATTTTTTTTTTTTTAACATATTGGCAGCCTCATTGGTATCTTTATTAGATCAAAGCAGATATAATTATATCCTAAACTATCTAAGTTACAGATCTGATATCACTTGGCTTC